ATATAATAATAATTAACTACAATAAATTTATGTACGTATTAGGCATTTGCGAATGTAATGTATGAATGAAACAGCAAACACGGAAGCAACAAACAAACAAAAATGTAGATATACGCATGTCACGTTCAACTAAATGCAAATCTCACACTTTAGTACAGTAACTTGAAAGGTGAGCAGAAATGCAGGCAAAAAAAGTTATGTTATAAACAAACAGAAACGATGAAAAAAAAAACAACAATAGGTTTTAACAACTACGAAATTATAAAATATTTAATCGCTAGAAAACAGTAAATAAATTACAACAAAACAAACATGCATAAAACCCAAACAACAAAGTTAAAGAAATATGCAAAAATAAAACATTAAACATTTTATTTCAAAAAAAAAAAAATTCCAAAAAAAAAATTCGAAGCATTTTTATTTCTATTTACATACATATATTTCTTTGAGATTCGCTGCATTCCCCTCCTTGTTTTATACTTATTAACGCTTGAAACGCTTAAATATTGCATTGCCCTTTTTGTTTTTCAGCTAAAACGGTGTTCATATGAGGCGATTTTACAGGCAATTTTGGAGGCGATTAGTTGAATTCAAAGTTGGCTTTCTCCGAACTTCAACTAAAAGTTGCCTGTAAAATCGCCTCATGTAAACACCGCATAAGTGATTAAACGTTTTGGTTTCTGATGCATTTGATATTCGAAATTCAGTACTTCTGTATGATTGTATATGTGTTTTCATGACTCCGATTTCTTAGATTTCAGTCAGACGAAATTCTTACTTTTGTGAAACGAACAATCGTTTTATTATTATGCTGACTACACACGGGGCAACCGTTGAAGCAAAAATTTACAGAATTTTCTCTCTCATTTGGTACTCATATTGCTGTTCTACATTGCACTGATTTTTTATGATAATTTTTTGCATTAATAATATCTTTAAAATTGTAAAGTCTTTTGAAAAAAAAAAGTCCTGACATCAGAGTGAATAATTAAAGACGCAGTTTTGCTATGTTTGTCCCATAGTTTCGTGAGTATATCGATTCTTTCGTGTGTTCTGATTTTTGTTTTGTTTTTTGTCGTACCGTGCTATTTTTGTCCACGTAGTGACTCGAATATTTTTTTACGCACACATTTTATTGGGCATTACCCAGTGGAAATCCGGCACAATAAAAGTCTTATATGAACTTAAAGAGAAAACAATTTCAATAAAAAAAAACCCAAAAATTTAATGAGTTCTGCGCCCGAAACGCGGCATTCGTGATCGAATGATTACTCGTTTCGAATCGCATCGAATAAAATAAATTACAGCTGTTTTACTCCCCAACACAACTTAAATTGCTGAAGCGCACTGGCTCAGAAAAAAATTTAGTTTCAACTTGCGTTTCAAATTGAAACTTTGAATTGATTAAATGTATTTTCCAATTCGTTACATTAATCTATGTACATTAAAATTAAAATGACAAAATAAGATTTTCTCAGGTCTAGAAGTCTATATATTTCTCAAATGTTTTTCAAATCGCCTTTTAACGTTTGAGCTATTAGCTCATTTCCATCAAAAGCTGAACTGCAGTTAAGAGCTCAGATAAGTTTCACGAATTTTAACATGAGGTGATCGGTAAGGTTTCACGTTTAAAAGAGTATTTTTACAGGCACAAAATTGCGTAACTTCAATTCCAATTTGACTGCCTAAACGATAGATTTAAATTTTTTTAATGTTGCTGTTGTTGTTGTGTTTTATGTGTGTGCGTATTTCCAGCTGATAGTTTTTCCTATGCCCAAATTGAGGACCATATCGTAATTTCAGCCAAAATCGAGAGTAACCCAAATTGCCAATTTGGTGCTCTAAAAAATAAAAATACACTAAAAAATAATATTTTTTTTTTAGAAATGATGCAGATTTATGTGGGACCACTTTTTCGAAGATTTGCAATATGTACCATTACGTTGGAAAGAGTTACTTTACTGGATGCCTATGCCAAATGTTTCTAACTTTTTTTTGACGTTCGGGTAACGCACAAGGTCTATCGCATTTTCAATAGTTTTCTTTAAGGCGCGAAAAGAATCATAACATTACATTTTATATGTAAATTGTTTTTGGTATTTAAAAAAACAATTTTTAAGTTTTTTATTGTTCATAAAAAATTTAAATTCTTGGAAAAAACTCTTTTACTTGAATTATGCATAGGAAATTTAAGAGTTTCAAATATTTTTGTATTCGTCGAGTCGGCAAATGATACCATTCTGGATTTAAGAGTTATGACCACTTTTTTTAAATTTTTGTTAACTAATTTTTTATATCTATCCGTGTTAAAAAATTATTTTTATTATAATATTTTGCGTTGTTATTTTTTTCCATTCTATTTCCCATTCCCCATTTTATTTATTTTCAACAGTGACGATATTCACAATTTAATGTCGAATTTCCACTAGCCGTAGAATGGAAAAAAAATGTGTGCCATTTATAAAATGTTATAGGCAAACAAACATAAGCCTTCATCGATTCGCCAACAGTGAGCGAGTGGCGAATCGACGACGACTATAATCAGGCAAGTGCTGGTTATCGCACGCTTTCATTCCGAAACTGAAATTTTTGGCAAATCGCTTCGAATTCAATTCGAAGACTGCTGATTTTAAGAA